TCATTTAGCCAGACAGATCAACATTTCCAGCAACGAATAACTACATAGAGTTCATCAAATGACTAGAGTAATAAAACGAATCAACAATGAATAATTCCACAGAATTTATCAAATTATCAAATCATCAAGAGGAGTACAAATTGATGGTGATTAAAATAACACTGTTTGCAAAGAGATTTAAAGGAATCATATTGTATACCATCCAAATTACCTCAAATCAATTAACTCTGTCACCATAAATCTGAAATTGCTCCATGGGTCTCAAAAACAACTCTGATCGTACGTTGATAAAATCTACAACTCTCATGTGCTATGGGGGTGTTTGGGACGAAAAAAAATAGCCTAATTTAGGCTAAAATTCACAAAAAGACAAAATAGGCTAAAATAGCTAATAAGACAAAATATCACATCAAACCTATAATCATTGCACTTTTTCTCTCACAAACATCACATCCAACTATAAAATAATCCAATCATCTTCTCAAACATAAAAATTTTAGTCTACTAAAATAGCCAAAAATGAAAATAGCCTACTAAAATAGCAACTTCCCAAACGAAGCCTATATCACCATGGCGAAACAGAATTTCTAGATTCAAAATCACTTAAAGATTGAAATTAAAGGGACCACTTCAGATTTTTGTCGAGCTCGGTGTTCCTATGGTTCGTAGAGAATTTTCTCTAGTTTTCACAACATCTTTCAGAAATGGAATAGCTTTTCTAGATTTTTAGTTATTTAAGAAACACTTCAGCGATGTCCAAATTCGGCGACCGTGACGAAAATTTGATTTTCTTACAAACCGCTCACTCTTTTTCAATGAAAGCAATTTTCTTAAGGAAGATTTTGACATAAAATCGGGGTCCAGAAGATTTTTATACGTTTTTTTGGAATTTTTGCAAGTTGGCTGTAAAACAGATTTTTCTAGCACAGTTCTTGAAATAAGAACGTTGGTGAGAAAAGAGGTCAACTTGAGGAAATTTTCCACTTCTCATGTGATGAAAACATGATAAATAATATGTATTAAACTTAGAAATTGAAGGTGAAGGTGTGCCTTTTGAAATTTTGAGAGTTTGATATGGAAAAAGGTAGTCTTATACCGATTAAGAGAAATACAAGAAGGGTAGAATCAAGACTCAACTCCTTTCATTTTTAACACAAGAATACCATCAAAACACATCTGAAATGAATGTTTAAAACTTCTAAGAGCATGTAATTGAAAGGAAAAATAAGAGAGAATTGTGTTGTGGCTTACTTGAGGGTTGTTGGAATTGCTAGCAAACTTTTTGTTCCTCTCCTCTCTTCTACCAAGCTTACCCTCCTTCCTCTATTCTCTCTCAGCTGAATATAGTGTGTATGTGTGTGTTCTTGTGTGCAAAATGCTAGGGGAGAGGTTTCTTTTATAGGAAAATTGGTGCAAAAGGTCCATTTTGCCCATTGGTTGGAATTGAATTGGATATTTTGGATTTAGTTGGAATTCAATGGAATAGTGGAGGATTAGGGGCCCTAATTATGCAATTAATCATGATCTAGTTAGGATTTGGTTAGGATTGAACTTAGGTTAGAGGCATGGTTCCATGATTTGGGGGTACTAGCAAACTTTTTCCTTAATTTCATGGATATGGTTTGAAAAAGTGTATCCATTCCACTTCCCTAGGGTGGCTGGCCATGTGCTAGATTTGGGGAGATTTTTGTTGATTATATGTATATGAAGATATTTTGTGTACAAAATTATTTATTTGAGAAATGTACAAGTATATATATGTGTATATGTGTGTAATGGTTACTAGTTTGGGTCAAAATGTGATTCAAGAAAAATATGAGGGCTTGGGCCCAATTAAAGTATCTATTTCAAGTGTAGATTTAATAAATTAGTGTTAGGAAAAATAATTTAGTTTGTATTATCTTACTTTCAATTTAAAGGTGAATAATCAAATGAAAACTGTGAAAACTGGAAGTTAAGGTTTAGAGGGATAAATCTAAAATTTGAGAGTTAAATAATTAATATTAGAGTGTAAGAAATGATTTCTAAGCTTCCAGGGTCGATTAGGGTTTGTAGGTGTTCGTTCGTGATATATTTTCGATTCTAGGGTTTAATTTGCGAATAATCAACGAACTAAGGGTTTTACTATAATAACTCCAAATTTAGGGACCTAATAGGGTTTACTAAAGTTAGGAGTCTCACAGTGCTCCTGTCTACCCACTACTGCACTTCGGATCCTTCAATACGGCATACCTGCTGATGTCATGGACGAGTACATCAAAATTGGTGAAACTACTGCAATTGCCACCTTGAATTGTTTTACCAGAACGATTATTGCTATCTACGAAGGCATATGCTTAAGATCCCCAAATGAGGCAGATGTCACTAGACTATTGCAAGAGGGAGAGCAATGCGGGTTTTCTGAAATGTTAGGGAGTTTGGATTGCATACACTGGTGTTAGGATAAATGTCCAACCTCCCAGGCCAATGCTTACACTGGACATGTGCACAAACTAAGAGTTGTGCTCGAGGTAGTCGCCTCTTACAACTTGTGGATTTGGCATGCCCGACTCTCTTAATGATATTACTGCTCTTGACAGGTCGTCTTTATTTTCTTAATTAACTAAAGGACATGCCCCTACTGCTAACTATACTATCAACAATCATTCGTATACCATGGGATATTATCTAGCTGATGGTATCTATCCTCTTTGGGCAATGATTGTCCAAACAATATCTTAATCTCAAGGTTTAAAGAGATAACTATTTGCGAGGATGAAAGAGGCATATCGGAAGGATGTCAAAAGGGCATTTGGAGTTCTCCAAACGGTTTAATATTGTTAGAGTTTCGGTGAAAGGTTGGAATGATGAGGATCTATACTACATCATGAAAACGTGCATTATTTTGCACAGTATGATCATTGAAGACGAGCATGATATTCTTGAAAATCAACGCAGTGCAACACTACTGCAAACAGATACCACTAATACCCCATGTCAAGTGTCACACGATCCAAACCAAGACTATGCTAAATTTATGTTCAATCACCAGAGGATTAGATCTAGTGAAACCCATAATGCAATTTGTAATGATCTAATTGAACACTTGTGGGTCCGTCATGGAGAGTTAGATTAAATTTGTATTTTATCTCTTCGCTTCCTTTAATGTCTTTTTATTTTAATAAAATTGTCTTCATTTAAATAAGTTTGTATTTATTCATAAAAATATTGACAAATTAAATAGATATTGAAAACTAAATTACATTACAAAAGCAAAATTACATTGGAACATAAAAACTAAAAATTATATTGAAAAATAAATAACATTGCAAAATGAAAAATACATTGTCTCTCAATTATTCATCAAAAGGTAGGGGAAGACAATAATTTGGGTTGCTCACATGTATGAACCACTTTGCGAAAATCTGATTCTTGCGCATTATATAATAAGCTTTCATTTGAGGGTCCATATTAGAAATGTCTGCAATCATTATGGAATGTTCTTCATTTTTCATCTCAAGTTCTTTTATCTCTTGCAATGTTTGAATCCTTTTATCTTCTCTTTTAGCTTTTTTTATTTCATTCTCAGTAAGGTGTTGGTTAAATCTTTCCAACAAATTGTTAAGTTTGTGAAGCTTTAACGACCTGACTTTTCCGAAGTATTTTTTTGCAGATTTCTTACATATAGGTCTTTTACCTCTTACAGAGACACAACCATCACTAACACTTGGATTGTTACCAACACTTGAATTGTTACCTTCACTTGGGTTGCTATTGTTTTCAAGAGAAATGCAGTTATCTATAGAGGAATCAGGGACTGAATCGGTAAATGGTGTATGTGTCCTTGACTTGACTACGTTCATAGGAGCTACATCTTGCTACTTGATATTGTTTTGCAACACTTCAAAATGTTTTTTTTTTTCATCTTGATGGTATAAAAGTTTTGCTGAATTATCTATATAAATAAAATATTAAATTATATAATCAGTTAATTTTTATATGATACAAAATAAAAAAAACTAACATAATAAATTAAGATGAAATCTTACTATATCAACTTGAGACATCCCACTTGGGTGTAGATTTTTGACTTGCGCTAAACACTTACGAAATTTGTTGGAACGTTTCATGATTATACCCTATCGAGATTAGATAGACACTTGTGTTCTTGACTGATCATTTTGAAGCAAGCAATAATTTTCGTAAATTCTCCTCCAAAAGTGAGCATACGATTGCAAATTGCCAACAATTGAGTCTTTAGAAATGTGACACCAAGATTTACAAATTGCCGCATCTTCATCAATGGTGAATGATTTTCCTGTCTTTGTTTTTGATGAACCTTCCATAGTGATTGTGTTAACAAACTAAAAACAAAAATGTAATTTGGAAGGTTTGTTGTGAAATGAAATTGAGATAAAGAGAGAAGAAAAAGAAAAATGTAATTTAAAATGTTTGCTGTGAAATGAACTGATATTGAGGGTTTTTATTTATAGAAATTCAAAAAATGAATGTTTGTAGGTAATAGCCGTTGAGACCAAAACGAAAAAAAATAATAAAATACGACTACTTATTTGTAGCTGTTGTTCTATAACTTTTTTCTTTTTTTTTTAAAAAAAAGAGCACAACGTCACTTTTTCATTTCCAAGACACCATCATTACCATTCACCTACCCACAATCCAACAGTTGAGATCAACTATCTAGAAGCATTCCCTTTATGCATTCCAAGACAACATCCCCTTTCTCTCTTGTATCCAAACCAGTCGGCTGTTGAGAGCTTCGGGGATGTTTGGAAGAAAAAAAATAGTTTAATTTAGATTAAAATTTATAAGAAAATAAAATAAAATAAAATAATTAATAAGATAAAATATCACATTAAATTTATAATTATTTCTTTTTTTCTCTTACAAACATCACATCCAACCATAAAAAAATCCAATCATCTTTTCAAACATAAAAATTTTAACCTACTAAAATAACTTACTAAAAATAATAACTTTCCAAAAGAATTTGTTTCTGTGTGTGTGTGTGTGAGGTGTTCTATCTTCATCCACAGCAAAGGCAACCCCGCAACCCCCTTTCTCTTCATCTTCATTATCAGAAACCCCTTTATATGTATCTTCATTTTGATCATCACTACCACCAGTGGCGGTCACCAAAACCAGTCCTTCATCTCTCTCTCTCTCTCTGATTTCCATTACCATCACCAGTGTCAATCACCCATCGCCGATCGCGAAGTTCGATGGAACACCACTGTTTAGAACACCACCGATCGCAAAGTTTGATGACACAAGCCCTAGAGGTTAATGGAGGTTCAGATGAAAAACAAGTTCATCAATCATATTGGAATCCAGGTATTTATCTTCTAAATTCGTTTTAGAGATTTATATAAATTTGTGAAATTTGGGTTTCATTTGTTCTAAATTCATTATGGAATTTGTGATTTGTGATTTGTTCTTGACTAAAATTTGTAAAATTTGTGAATTTGTGAAACTAGTTTTTGAATGATCATTTTGAAATTGTGGATAAATTTGTGTTTGGGAATTCTATTTTTTTTTTCTTCTCAATTTTGGTGAACTTTGCAAAAATAAACGAATGGTGAACATTCTGTGATAAAAATTGGTGAATTTTGCCAAAAGAAAAAAAAAAAACCAAAGATTTTGGGAGGTTTTTTTGGTGAATTGATTCTGTTTTTTCAACTGATTTGGAGCCAAAAATCTATTGGTCTTTGATGATGTGGCATGTTTGGTACCTGCTATTCTTCCTGTCAAATTTGACAACAGAAATAGCATATGTTATATTTGGTAAAAAGAATAACAAGCCATTGGAGACCCCTTTTTTGTCACTCTTACCAAATTATAATTTTAGCAACTCTTTTGGCAACTCCATTGGTGATGCTCTTAGGTGCAAGATTCCCAATATTTTTAATTTTTTTTTTTCTTCATACAAATGATTTTCTGAAACTTTTTTGCCTCATCAAAACTCTTCTGAGATAATGGGAATCCATTAAACAAGGTCAAGAGCTACAAAAATTAAAAGGTAGAACAGACTCATTCTATTCACAAGTTTCACTCTTCTCAACGCATTTGGTGGGGAATGTATTAAAAAATATATAGCCAAAAAAAAAAAATAACTTTTAAATTAAACTATATAAAAATTTATCTAGCTTAATGAAAATGCTCTTATAATAATAATGTCCGACCATGGTGGTATGTTTATATCACGGGATGTGATCCATTTTATTTATTTATTTATTTTTAATGTAACATTTGATTTATTTGATTGGATCAGGGATGATGGAATTACGACAAGGCTTGATGATTCGCTAAGTCCGTTTATGATTTATAAGGGATGGATTATGATTTAGACCCACAGAGGCAAGTTAAAACTCAATTATAGAATGTGTCGTGTTGGGAAAGACTGTTTCAAGTCAAGTCAGCTCGGCCTGCTCACAAGCTATATTATACAATATATATACAATATATTATACAATATATTGTATATTATACAATATATTATACAATAATAAGTTATATATTATACAATATATATTTTTAAATAAATTAAAGAGCCACATACAATATATATTTATATTTTTTGTTTTTATTTTTATTAGCATAAATTATTTATTACTAAATTATGTAAAAAATTATTTATAAAATGTGAACTACAAGTCTTGTTTGAATAGGTTAAAGAGACACACAAATATAACTAAATTAATTATAACTTTTTTTAAAATACGAAAAAAATATTTATATTAAACAACATCTGGGCTATGTGGCTGGATTTGAAATTTTTTATTTTGTTTTTGGATGGATTCAGAAATAAAGCATAAGCCTAATCTGGAGGGGCAAAGTTTGGTAAATGACTTTAAGGGTGTGTTTGTTTTGAAGAATTAGGGTGTGAGATTGGACTATTAGTCCCACCGGACTAATAGTCTATTGTTTGTTTGAAAAATTTTGCTCCTCAGTCCCACAAATATGGGATTATCCTATCCCATGGGGGGTGAGATAGAAACCATGTGATAACTCATCCCATGGGATTAGACAATGAAATTACATTTTTGCCCTATAGTATTTAATTATGTATTATGTTTAGTAAAATTCAAAAAAATTTGAATGTCTCAATTTGAAAATAAAATAATTTTATTTAATTTTTATTTTTGTTTTATTTATTTAATTTTTTAAAATATTTTTTACAGATATTTCATTGATGTTTTATTTTAAAATTTTGTTTATATTTTATTTAATTTCATTATTTAAATTTTAATAAATGTTTTATTTTATTTCATTATTTAATTATTATTATTATTTAAAATAAATTTATTTAAAATTTTAATTAAAAAATAACATATATTTTTATTTATATTTAATTTATTTAATTTTTAAAAATAAATTTATTTAATTGTGCAAAAAATAAAATAAAATAAATTTTTATTTAATCTAGCTCAAAATAATTAAAATATTAAAGCTATGTTTAATATTGCTATTACTTAGTAAATAATTGAAAATCATAAAATAGTCATTTGAGCATTTATCATTCTCCATAATATCCCAAACAAACATTGGATAACTAAAAGTAGTCCAATCCAGACATCTAATCCCATAACTAAACAAACATAGGATACAAATTCAGTCTAACCAAATAGTCTCGGGATAATGTATTCCAAGACTAATAGTCCGATGGATTACAATCCCCCCGTATCCAGTTCATCCAAACAAACGCACCCTAAATGTTAGTAAGTAGTATATGGGCCGGCTTGAACCCATTCAAGCATGGTTGGCTGAAAATTTTAAATTAAAAGTATTTCAAAATAGAAAATAACTTTAAACATTTTTGTTATTACCTAATTAAGAATATTTTACATCAGCCGTTTAATTAGAGGCAAATTGATTTACCATTCATAGAGCTATTGGCAAATGGAGCCAAAGTTGAAATACAATTACAAAGACAAATATAACCTTATCTTCAACTTTTATTCTTTTCCAAATCAATATATATATATATATATATATATATATAGTTGTGTGTGCAATTCAAATAAATAAAAAAAAATACTAATATCACAATATGTAGCGGCATATTTATACAATTCAAATAAATAAAAGCAATAAATAATAATAACAATAAAAAAGCAAAGACACATATTACATGTCACTTAAGTGGTAAGAGTTTCTTTATTAAATTAAAGATGTTGGTTAATAATTTTTCTCCTCCATGACTCCCCAACCACCTCTCACTCTCAAATAATTATTCAAATTCACATTTTCTAATTTAAAAAATAAAAAAATAAAAAATAAAAAATACAAATTTGGGTTAAATTTTATAAGAATTTTTTTTCTAAGTGGGTCCTTTTTTAAGTCCAAATCTAGCGGGTCAAAGTGGCCGTTTTGCGCGTGCTTATGAGTTGGCATGCAATATACTTGGCATAAAAAAGTAATTCACCAAAACACAGCCATACATTTCTTTGCTCAATTTAGTGGGGCTTCCAAGCTTAAGCTTGAGCATGTCATGGCTAGTACTCTTATGTTGTTTGAGCATTCTCAACTCTGGCTTTACTGCTACCACATCCAGTTCCTGGCTAATGGGGAACGAGACAGACTGGCTTTCATTATTGGCAATCAAGGCCAAAATAATTGAGGATCCATTGCATGTTTTGAGCTCCTGGAATGATTCCATCCACTTCTGCCAATGGCAGGGCGTTTTGTGCGGCCGTAGGCATCAGAGGGTCATTGCCTTGGACTTACAGTCCCAAGAACTGGTGGGATCAATATCACCACACCTCGGGAATTTTAGCTTTTTGAGGAAATTACTACTTCAGAACAATAGCTTTGGCAATGAAATTCCCTCGGAAATTGGCCGTTTGCCAAGGCTGCAGATTTTGCAGCTGAACAACAATTCAATTGGTGGCCGAATTCCAGTAAATATATCTTGTTGCACTAACCTCATTGAAATCGATTTTTCTTAGAATGGGCTGGTAGGAGAAGTTCCTGTGGAGCTCGGATCCTTGTCGAAGCTCGTGATAGTAATTATAGAGGCCAACAATCTTACAGGGAGTATCTCTCCTTTCACGAATTTGTCATCTCTTCGCGGACTGTCTTTATTTGATAACAAATTTCATGGCAGCTCGGACTCAGCGTGAACATGTTGTCTGGCGCCATTCCTCCTTCTCTCTTCAACCACTCTTCTCTCACAATGTTTGATGTCTGTACTAACCAAATACAGGGAAGTCTTCCATGGGACATGGGCATCACTCTTCCCAATCTTGAAATCTTCATCATTGGTTTTAACCAATTTACAGGATCAATTCCGGTTTCAATATCGAATACATCTAAACTACATTACCTAGAAATGCCTCAAAATAAACTTACTGGAAGGGTTCCTAATTTATCGAGGCTGCAAAACCTTGAGTGGCTAAGCATTTCCGACAACCAGCTTGAATCCGAGGAAGATGATGACTTGAACTTTATATCTTCTTTGATCAATGCCACCAATTTACAGGTTTTGGCCGTGAATTATAACATGTTTTACTTCAAGTTGCCAGAATCTATCGGTAATCTCTCGAGTAATCTTCAAAATTTGTATCTAGACCACAATCAGATATTTGGAAGCATTCCATCTGGGATTCTAAACCTTGTTGGCTTGCAGAGTTTATCTACGCAGCTTAACCAACTCTGTAACAACCATCACTCTACTCTAGTCATGCTTGCATATGTTACATGATCTTGTCTTGATATGTTGCATTTTTGCAAACCTTGATTTGTTTTGCTTAAGTGCTTTTTGCATGTTTTGTACCTTGCTTGGTGTGAGTTTAGCCAAGGTCATCTTCAGTCTAGAATTATCTTGGAACCACTTTGGTTGACCTCCACCTTCACCAAGGCATGTTGGCCGGGATGTCATCATCTAGGTCGAGGTGTTCATCACCAAGGCCGAGATATGTACTATCTAGGCAGAGATGTTATCTTTGTACCTAGTGATCTTGTTCCTGGATTGGTATGTCCTAGATCGAGGTGTGGCACATCTAGGCCGAGGAGTGGCACAGCTTAGTCATGTGTTGTCCTTCCTAGCCGAGATCATTGTACTTGCTGAAGCTCTGTCCTTAGCCCAGATTGTTACTTGCCGGAGTACCCTTGCCGTCTTGCTTGTTGAACACACTTTGTCATAGTCTTGTCTTTTCACTCAGTCACCTTTTTCAGTAGAGCCAACCAGCCGTTGCCACGTGTCCGAGCTGAGTGTTAAATCAGCCGGCAGAGAGAGAAATGTATCATTTGTTGTATGTCTTTGTTCTTGAGGAGAGAGAAGCTCTAGAAGAGGGAGAAAGAGTTCTTAGAGGAGGAATAGATTTTCCAAGCTTGATCTTCACATCTTCAGCCATTAGATTCGTGTCTTGAGGTTAGAATCTTAATCTACTTTCGTTGTTCTTATTGATCATCTAGCTACATTGCATGATCGAACCTGATTTGCAAACCATGCATCGATTTAAAGTTTGGTTTTGGAAAGAGAAAGTGATATTCATGTGTTCTTGAATAGAAGCCTTGTTTGATCCGAAAGCTTGCATCGGGATTCATGTTTTCGTGTTTGTTTTCATAAAATCTTCGAGTATGGGTACCCAGGTCCATGTTTTTGAATTCATAGCATGAAATCTCAGATTTTGTAATAACAAGTTTTGCTTTTTGCACTCATGTTCTTCAAGAAAGGGAAACCCAAATTTTTCCGACTTCATTCCCTTGAATGCGGCCCTTGGGACCACACCTCGGCAGGGAGGTGTGAGACCTCGGCCAAGACCTGGTTGGTGCCCATTATGTTTTCCCGAGATGAGGAACAGTGTTTTGTTTTGGTTCGACTTAGTTTTGAAGTAATGCCGAGATCATTTGCATTCATGTAAAGCTTGTTTGTTAGTGTATTCAATGAGATTTGTTATGTGCTTGTAGGCCTTGGATCCTTGCTTGTAACCCCGACGTTTGAAGAACTATGCGAGTGGTATTTTTAATAAAGCTATGTTATAAAGTTTTGAAAAGTATTTGTTAAGCATGAATGATATCCCTATTTTGTGTATCAAGTGTTAGTCTTGTTTTGGATAACAACCTTTGAAAGTCCGTACGTGCTAGAGGACTATAAGCATTTGTAGCATAACCTTTGAATGTCCGTACGTTCTAGGGGACTATAAGCATTTGTAGCACAACCTTTGAAAGTCCGTACGCACTAGGGCACTATAAGCATTTGTAGCACTACCTTTGTTAACGTCACCCCTTGAAACTTGAAAGCCGTGAAAGACTTTGATTGATGAAACTTGAAAGATTTGTTAGATGAACTTGATTCCTCCCTTGTTGGTTACAAGCTATGATTATGTATTGTTTTGTTAAAGATCTC